GCATTACTGAACGGGCTCGCCTCTCCACAGAGCTGTTAAAGAAGTGGCAAAGTCACTGGCCTCCGAGCCTCATTTGTCTCTGGTCATGGACATGAAACATCAGCTGTGTGTGAAAATGCAAACACATGAAAAGTGTTTGCACCAGAAGAAATGTGGCTGATGCTCTGAATGCTTCATCATCATCATCAGAGCAAAAGAGAAACACTGGTCGCACTTTTGGCGCGTCAGCTCCTAAAACTCTATTTATCTCACTTTACATGCCGTTACGAACTGGCTCAGGGTTCGAACAAGAGGGAGGCCACACATGTTTAAAAACGGTACAAAAATACATATTTATTTAAAAGCAAGGTGCAAATAAAGTTGTGACCGCATAGTGAAGAGAAGAGAAAAGCGAATGTGCGGTCTCCAGCAGCCAGCTTTTAAGAGTGACGGGCCACACCCACAATCAGGTGCAGCTCGTTGGTTGGTCCTCCTACTTTGGAATCTGGAAGGGAGGCGGGAGAGAGAGCCAACAACCGCACAAAACTCCCAGAAAATACAGACCCAAGCTGGGGTCGTAACGCAAACGCCAAACTGTAGTTTTCCAGAATTTCCACTCTAGCTGGAGTTTTTAGAAAGAAGAGGCGAATTCACTGTTTGCGTGTAAAACATAGACCAGGACATAGATATGAATGAACAGAGCTAATGCACTAGCCACAGCATGCCAAAAAGGAAGTTCGCCAGGAGGCTCTTCCGGCTCCTTCTGACTCCAACTGACTTATTAGGATCTTGTCGCCCCTCTCTTTGTATCTGCTGCAGTGAGCGTTGTCATTTTGGTCTTAAAATGTTCCTGTTAACCCACTCTACATGATCCTGAATTTTTTTTTTCGCTATTTTCTGCAAAAAATCCTATTCATAACACAGAACCTGGCTCCAGATTCGCTCCTGTAACCGTCACACTCATTTAATCTACTTCTTTTATACAGTCTATGGTGTAAAAGATGGGTACAAACGAAGGGAAAGTGTGACATTGTCCACAGCGTTTGTCTCCAGTCAAATGAAGCGCACTCAGGCTAGCAGTTGTGGGAGCACATTTGGAGTCGAGTTACATGTTAGGAAAAGGAATTGATTTACAGACAAAATATCAAAATAAAAACACTAGAATCATTTAGAGCAGATTACTACGATCATTGTTGGAAGTATACTAGTCCATATTAGGGGTGTACAAAAATATTGAAATATCGATATATCGCATCGCTTAATGTGATGATACAGTATTGATATCATGGGCTGCTGTATCGATATATCGCCAAGAGTATTTTTTGGTATATTTCACTAAATTATTCAGTTACAGCGCCACAGTTTTGTTGTTTGTTTAGGTATCGCACCAACACATTTGACATTTCCACTGTTTTGATGATTAAAATGTTTGTGTTTTATATGAAATTAGCACAAGAAGTAGTTTAAAAGAGACTTTTAGTATCACAGACCCGATTTCGCCTTTATTTTTTAATTGAACTGTATCGAATCGATTTGAAATGTATCGTATCAAACCCATAATGCACTGTATCGAGATATGTATCGTATCGTGTCCTGTGTATCGAGATATCGTATCGGCAACTTCTTTATGATACCCAGCCCTAGTCCATATGCTCTTATACTTGTTCTGATACAGCTCAAGATCATTCTAAAGACTAATTTTGGTCCTGAGAATGTGACTCTTTTAGTATTGACACTTACTCAAGTCTAGTTTCGATATTGGTTTTGGTATAAATTAGTATCAGATGTTTTTAATTTTTGACAGCCCTACCATGGAAACAGTTTCGATGTATTCTCTGGTGCGAACTTTCTGGTTGAGATTTCAGTTTAGGCAAGACTCAAATCGAAAATCAAACCCACAAGCTTCTACCAGCGAAGTAAAGCACAGCTAACCACTCTGCCACTGCCCGTCTCTTCTACTTCTTTAGTGAGTTTTATTTGGATCAGTCAAAAACAACCCCTGGAAGCACGACGTAGCTGTTGTCACACTGTCATTTTTGGCATGCTATTAAAGCTAGCCATTCAATCATCGGTCCAACGGTGCATAGTCTATTATAACCACAAAAAGCTTTCAAAATGCTAATTAGCTTGTCCTCAAAACCCCCGGGTCATCTCTGCTTAGATAGACCTTTGTATAAAATAAATACAATTAAGGTAGCCATCTGATTTCTGGAGTTGATGGCTTCCCAGGGGACAAACCACAAGGAGAAACAAGCAAGATAACGGAGGCAAGAAGTGAAGCCATTACTTCTTTTTAAACCTCACTGGCAAAACCGATGGAGCACTGATCGCAACACTTTTTGATCTCACTGTAACTCACCAGTAGTTCTCTAATAGTACACAGTTAGTACTTTAAAGAAGGCATGTTGTGCTTGAGGCGGCTGTATAGTTTTGATCTAAGACACCGTGGATGTTCAGAGATGCACCGATCCAGCTTTTTCAGTTCCAACAGTGGTTTTGAATCTGTGTATCGTTCGTTCATTCATTTTTCAATATAAAACCAAATTAAGAAAATGAAAATAAAAACAACTATTTACTTCATTATTTGTCTCCAAAACCAAAATGAAAAAACAGATAACGATTCGTTTTCTCAGTTTTTGATTTTGTGTTTAAATGACCGTTTCCTTTGTGTTTAAATGGTTGTTTCCTGTTTTCGTGATTTAAACTGCGATGCCAGAATGAACCTGGACTGAACCAGGACTAAAACAGGACTCAACTGTCTTCAGTCCTGGTCTCAGTACCGGTCTCAGTCCCGGTCTGGTCCCAGTCTGGTCCCAGTCTCAGTCCTGGTTCTGTTCCCGGTCTCAGTTATGGTCTCAGTTCTGGTCTGGTCCCGGTCTGGTCCTGGTCTCAGTCCTGGTCTTGTTCCAGCCTCAGTCCTGGTCTCAGTCCCGGTCTGGTCCTGGCCTCAATCTTGGTCTCAGTCCCGGTCTCAGTCCCTGTCTCAGTCCTGGTCCTGGTCCCGGACTCGGTCCTGTTCTGGTCCCAGTCTAAGTCCTAATCTCAGTCCTGGTCTGGTTCCGGTCTGGTCCTGGACCTGTTTTAGTCCTGGTTCAATCCGGCATCACAGTTTAAGTCACGGAAACGGGAAAAAGCTGTTATCCATTTAAACACAAAATTAAAAACTGAAAAAACACATCATTATCTGTTGGGTTTTTTTTTTTTTCATTTTGGTTTTGGAGACAAATTAAGAAAATAGTTGTTTTTTCATTTTCTTATTTTTGGTTTTATATTGAAAAACGAATGAACGAATGATACACGGATTATTTCAATACTAAAGCTTCAAGTATCTGCTGATATCCGATTTCAACCTGTAGTAGTCCAGAGGCTAAATTGTATTAAATTTCCTTTAAAACTAAAATAAAATAAGACAAAACTGATTGAAACATGCTTTTAAAAGAGCTATTATGTATCTCTCAAGTCAAGATAGAACTGCTTTGTGTAAATAATAGTTCAAAAATGAGACTTTCTGGACTATGACCACTATGTCTAATTAAACTGATTTATATGTCCAACCAAGATATCAGTTTAACCAATTTGATATCTGGAAGCAAATATCTGATCCAGCAATTTTTTTCAAATGCCAGTGTCGGACCGGCGGATCGCTAATTATGTTATAATTAAGACATTTTAAATCTCAACAAACAAATTCACAAGTTCCGGATTAGAAAGCTGCAAAAACACAGCAATTGGCCATTCCTATGGATAACTGCACATCACACAAGCAAGTAATGGATTTTTTTCCCCATTTGTACCAAAATGACACCGTGAAATCCTACATATATCACCGATTAAGAAAGTAAAATTGAAGAACAAAGTAAGTACAGGGCAGTAGGCGGGTACCGGTGAAAACGAGGGCACTGTATCATTCTTGCCATATTTCTACTGCATACTACTAGTCACAGCTGACCTGGGGTAGACTATTGGAAACAGGGCTGCCAATCTGCGCCCATGGCCTCTCCGACCACACCACATCCCCTTAATAGGCAAGGTACTGATCAGAGCAAGGTTCAATATACTCATTTGTCATAATTAATAGTGGTATAGCAGTTGTGGTATGAGTAGTAGTACCAGTACCAGTAAACAGTAGAATGAACAGTAACAATAGTAGAAGACATGCAGCAGCAGTTTGTAGAATCTGATTTCTGGAGAACAGTAAGAATGGCATTTTGTAAGTTCTACACACAAACTGTTGCTTGCTCCCCTGTGGACCAACCCTGAACCAGAACAAGCAGCCTGTTTTATGAAGTCTACCTGCTGCAGAGGAATCCTCTTTAAGAATGGGACAGGAGGATAAAGCTGCGGTGATACAAGACACTATCGATTTGACGCTATTTAATAACATTTACTTTCACTTTCCCGATAGAACACAAAGCTACAAACCCTGTTCATTTGTGAATCATCTAGCTTTTAAAACACACCTAAGTCTAAGTTTATCCCAAGGCTGCCGTTGATGATCATTTCGTGATTGCCTAGAGGCAGCAATGCTGTTTTTAATTAATCGACGCCTCGATCGATAATGTCACGCTATAGCAAACAATCAAAGTCAAAGGCTAAGACAATCCAGTCTCAATCATATCACTTGATTTGAGCCGTACGCTTCTTCTGCAGCTAAATGCTTTCAGGTGTCTGAATGATTTATGTGCCCAGATGTCAACTCAATGCATATAAAATGGTGCAGTTTATTCTCTTTTCAAAGTGGAAAGCCTATTTATGTCTGGAGCTAGCCATCGCCATAGCAATGCATCTTGTAAGAAATACATGTCAAACGCTAATAGGCACTAGTGTGTCCCTGTGTAAACATTTGATGTGCACCATGTGCAGTTATTTAACAGCCAAAATGAATATGAGGAAGAAGGAGTAGTTTATAGAGAGGCCGCTGAGCAAATGTAATGACTCTTTAAGTGTTAATCATTCATGACATAATGAAATCTTTTAAGAGAGCTTATGAAATACATTTGGAAATACATTTGGAGTTGTACCTTTGAGCACCATGGGGTCCTTGCCCTCTCTGCGCAGGGACTCGAGCACCACATGCAGGGGCTGGGCGGGGCTGAGGCGGTGAGGGTCCATGGTGCTGTCGTCATACACCACGATGTCTTTGGAGAACAGGCCTTTGAAGGAGTCCTGGGCCTCCCTGCAGGACAGCAGATCCAGCACAGTGATCTTCCCCTGTTGCAGCCTGCGCCGGCTCATCTTATCCGAGCAGTTGATGTGCACGGCCCCGCGGATGTGGCTCTTGTTGTACTCCGTGAAGGGCCTGCAGTCGATGATGACTGGAACGGGCCCCACGGGGTGCCCCAGGGGGCAGCAGCTCAGCCTCTTGGCCAGTTCATTGGGGTGCATGAGGCGTACGGAGGGCAGCAGCTTGGGCAGGGCTGTGGGCAGCGCCCTGGGCAGGGCCTTGGGGGTGCCGGGGGCCAGCCCTGAGGCCAGGCTGGGCACACTGCGGGCCTCATGGCTCCGGAGCGGAGGCAGCTGAGGGCTGGGGGTCCCGGCGTACGAGAGGTTGGGGCTGCTGTGGCTCAGACTGGGACTGTCCCGCTCATAGGTGGTGACAGAGCAGCAGCTAGCACTGCTACATCCACACGACAGAGAGCGCGTGGAGCCCTTGGAAGAGGGCATATACGTGGCCCGGATGGTCACCACTGTGGTGCTGATGACCGTGTGCTCAGCGCTGCTGAAGGTGTCCAGGTAACTGGAGTCCAGGGACAAAGTTAGCTCCTGAGGTCGGCTCGGCCTGGGCAGCGCCACCACAATCCTGTCGTCCAGAGGAGAGGGAGGCATGGGGAGGCTGCGTGGGGACACCGGGAGAACTCAACACTCCGCTCTGGGAGAGGACAAAGAGAGAGAGAGAGAGAGAGAGAGAGAGAAAGAGAGGGGCACAGGTTAACAGGGCAGTCTTCAGCACTGTGCTCTCTCAGGCAGGGGGGTCAATAAACAAATGCTTGTCCAGCTCCAGTATATCTCCTGTCACAGTTTTAACCTGATTACATGGTGCAGTCTGTATTTGAGCTCAGACACAAAGAGTAGGAATTACACGCAACAATTGGTCCAGATGGACTCAGAGCAGGGCTTCTTCACTCATGTGAGCTTTAAGCTTTGTCATGCCATCTCCTCATGAGTGCACTAATACATCTACTACAGGCTAATGATCACATACTACAGAGGCTTAATATATATAAGGAAATGAACCAGAGCCATGCTGAGAACAGATTCCAAGCTCTATGCAAAATCATTAAATCTAGCCATCTAATGAACCAGCAGCAGACACTGGCCTATGCAAAAGAGCATGTCTGTTGAACATGCAAAGTGGTCAACAGTCACAAGGCTAAATAGGGTCAACACCTGCAGGGCAACACCCCAAACGTGTGACCAATTCACTCACATAGTGCCCCCTTATTAAGAAACGAGCGACTCATCAAGCCCATGTCCGATACGGCGTGTGACAGCGCGTGTAACGTGAATCATACACGCAGCAATGTGCAGTAACGTAATGTAGTGAGCGGCTGAACCAAAACTATTTCGAACCCACTGCATCAACCCTATAATACGCCGCAGTTCTTTTCGTTTGAAAAAAAAAATCAGCAAAGAAAGCCCATTGGCAATTTCTTTCTCTTATTTATGAATGGCTGGGAGCTTGTTCCAGCTCAAAAGGCATGTCATCTGCCGTGTTATGTAAAAAGCGCCGCGTTTTGGGGAGCCAGAGAGGTACAAATCATTGATGGCAAATTCATTCAAGAAACCCGGCATGAGGACGTGAGCCGAATGTAATGCTGGAGATTTGAGCTTTCTTGGAGACGATAGACACAGGCCAATGCTGCCAACATCGTCAATTTCTACTAAAATAAAGACGTTGCGTTGAATAGCCGTGCGTATTCAAACTTTAAATTGGCGCAAGGATGGACTCGTCATGACACATGTTACGAGACACTCCAAACTACATGTGTCCAAGTTGTAACGACGCATAATAGCACGAAACGGCTTGAATAGTCCACCATAAATTATACATGATTGAATTCTCCACGGTTGCGTTAAAGCTCGGCGGACCTGGCATAACTTGAGCGCGCTGCACGGTTCCAAAGTTGGCATTTGGTGTGTGCAATCTTACCGGAGTGTAGCCTGCTCCTGCCGTGGACTGATAAAGACGGTTTTACGGTGTCCGCGCGTTAACGGTGAAGTCCCCATTCAGTCAGTGCGTAAAAGGTAGCATTATTTAGTAGTTTTTGGTGTCCTAGAGTGATCCGGGGGAAGCGTGCCAGCCTCCGCGGCGCTGGGTAGACGGATTGGCGGTGTGGCGAGCCAATGCAGCGCTACATGGATGTGAGGGAGGGAGTACAGTAGGATGGGGACTCGCTCCAAACGGGGAGGGCTAGGACGGAGCGGCGGAGAGGCTGCAGGGGGCGGGGTGGATGCAGACAAGCCCCGCCCAAAAATGCGCGGATGATGTCACTGAGAGCCAATGGGGAGGCCGGAAATAAGATTCGAGGAAGTGCTGATTATTATGCTAAATGAATAGTAGACTAAAAGTGGATCAACTAAGTCATACTTTTAAGAAGTTTATGTGGAATATCAAACTATTAGACTTTTTATGAGTTGATTATTTAGTTATATCCAATATACAAGTCCCAAGCCTGGATAAATGGTAAGGTGGACTATAATTGTTTTACATGTGTGGAAATTTCTCATCAAATTTTTAAAAAATCCTTCAAAGCTACTGTATAAAGAAGTGGACAAAGAAAGTGTGACATTACCCACAGCGTTTGGGCTCTAGTCAAATGAAGCTCAACGAGACTAGCAGTTTATAAGAGCGAATTTGGAGCTTCGAAGTTCCAAATTAGGAAGAGGAACTGATTTACAGACAAAGAAGTAAAGTAAAAACACCAGGATCATGTAGAGCGGGTTAATACGAACATTTTAAGACCAAAATGACGAGGCTCACTACCGCAGTTTATTATAGAGAGGGGTGACGATTTTATGATGTAAAGTCAATTGGAGCCAAAGTCGATAGAGCCAGAATTGCCCTTGCTCACTTCCTGTTGGTGGTTTTCAGATTCTAGAATGGCAAGAGCCAGATTTCCGTATTGATAACATTGTACTTTACCATGAAATATGCAAAATGTAAACTCACAAATGTTGAACCTGAACATTTCTATCAGTGTCTAGACCAGACATTTCAAACTCAGGCCCGGGGGCCAAGTTTAAAATGTTATTATTTTATAATATGCTTGTTCTGGATTCAATGTTTAAGCAAAACTATTATTAAACATTTATTTTAATAAGAAAAGGTTTAACATGACATGTCTCGAAAGAAGAGAAAACATGGTGATGTTGTTGAAATTCTTCAATAAATATTTAATTTGGCCCACGACTTAGTCACAGTTTTTAATTTTGACCCTCTATAAATTTGAGTTTGAAACCCCTGGTCTAGACACAAGAACTCACTGTATGGCAACAAAAATCTGCATTTTAACAATATTAATTTTACTTTCCTCGTCTGTATTAAATAACATTGGTTTAGAGAATGCTATGATGTCGTCTGAAACCTACCAATTTGGAACAAAAATTTACAATCTATGGCCTGGATATTGTTCAAGAGTACCTAGCTGGATTATTATCTTGCTAGTTTGACAAGGGAACTCAGAGAAGACAAAAGGAACCAACATAGACACAGGCAGAACATGCAAACTCAAAAGTAGGGCTACACAGTATATTAAAATCAAATCAAAATCGCAAGTTGAGTTGTTGCAATGATAAAATCGAGTGCAATTCGTCAATGCGATGGTTTAGATAATAGATTGTCCTCTGTAATATCCTACTTTGGACCATATCACAAATCATATCAAATCACAATCACAGTTTTCAAAATCATGCAGCTCTACTCCAAGAGGCCCCTCACAGTCATTCCAGGAATTTCCGGGAAACCACAGACTGTTTATATAAATGTACATTAAATGACCAGCACATTCCAAATAGGAAGTGAGCATCAGGGGCACTTCCGGCTCCTTCAACTCTGTTTCTGACTTTACATTGAATAATTATCACCCCTCACTTTGTCAGGCTCGTCATTTTTGTCTTAAAATGTTCATATTAACCCGTTCTACACGTTCCTGGTGTTTTCATTTCACAATTTTGTCCGTAAATAGTCTAGTAAATAAGTCTACAGTCTATGAATCGAACCTGGGACCTTCTTGTTATTATTCCATTTAAATCACAGTTAAAGGGAATGATAATATTTGCTATCTGTCTGGTTATAACTCCTTTTCCATTGCCTCAGTATTGATATATTCTGAGAGCATAGCAGTTGTCATAACAGAGTAGGATACGTGTAATCAGTGAATCTGGAAGTGTCTCCTTTTGTTTGGTTAACCTACATCCAGGTCTTTATGTAACTTCTCTCTCTGAGTCATAGCACATTTTTGAGAAGTTAGTTGCTCCATCTCCACGCCTGTTCTGCTCATTGAATACACTATTCGTTTGACCTTTTGTGTAAGCAGAGAAAGGGAGAATTTCTTGACAATATATGGCAAACTATCCACTGACAAATTACGCTAGGAGTCAGGTTTGTAAAAGCTTTTACTGCATTACCAAAGTAACCTCTTCATTTTTATATTTTTGTTCTATGTCACCTGTTTGTCGCTGTCAGTATAACATGACCTGACACCTTTGCCTCTCAGTCAGTCACCTATTTATCTATCCATACTGTTTAAAATCACAAGTCTCCAATTCATAATGCTCTATTTCCAACTATCTATCTCCGTCACAGCAGCCAAATCATCAGCCACCTCAGCCTTCCCATCTCCTCTTCACGACCATCAAATAGCATTTTTTCCCATCATTGCATCACTTTTATATAATAATTAATGATGTACTATGTAACTTTTCCAGTGGAGGGTTCACCGCTTGCTTGCCTCATGGAGATGTTTTTGCTTTGACTGGAATGTTTCACAGTATGACATTAAACTCAGCTGTCACCATGGAGACACAGGCTAAATTACAGGTTAGGTTTTGAGCGATAAGGCAAGGCAAGTTTGTTTGTATAACACAATTTGTACACAAAGTAATTCAAAGTGCTTTACAAAATAAGAAATACATTAAAATCACAATAAATAATCACAATAATATAATAAATAAAAATAAAATTAAAAAGAGAGAGAGACATTAGAGAGAAGAGTGTGGACATATGCAGCTAAACTGAACTGTTTTTGAGCCTTGATTTAAACAGAGTCAAAGTAGAGGCCTGTCTCACATCTTCAGGAAGACTGTTCCAGGTTTTAGTTGCATGAACCTGAAACGCTGACTCCCCGTATTTAGTCCTGACTCTGTGCACCAGCAGGAGGCCGGTCCCTGAGGTTCTCAGAGTGCGAGATGGTTCATATGGCACTACCATGTCACAGATGTACTTTTGCCATGGAGTGGGGTGACAGTGGCAGAAACTGTCGTTATGTTCTTAGGCAAGACACTTCTCTCACATTGCCTAGTATGAAAGTGGTGTGTGCGTGAGTGTTGGTGGTGGTCGGAGGAGCCTCAGTTCCATCAGTCTGTCCCAGGGCAGCTGTGGCTAAAGTAGTAGCTTACCACCACTGAGTGGTGAGTGAATGAATAATGAATTGTAAAGCGCTTTTGGGTATCTTGAAAGGCACTATATAAATGCAGTGATTTCTTTCTTCTTTCTTCTTTCATGGAGAGACTTAGATACGAATATGTGTATTTCTTTTAGCAATATCACCACTTTTAATTGAAAGGATAATTGATAACATCCCAATGAAGCAAACAGGTGGTGGATGCTTCACCAGAAAAGTTACATAGAGTACCTCTGATGACACCATTGTTTATATGAAGTAAGATTTTGGCAATATATATATATTTTTTTTACAATATATAGATTTCCTCATTTAGATTTAATAGCCCTATATTACACAAAATTAACTCTTGTGAGCTTTAAGCCCTGTTAGAATGCCATTACATCATCAAAAACATACCCGGAGTTGTGTTTTGTTTCATTCACACATGTGTGAGTAATCCTTTATTATTAGACTGTCTACATCTTTTAAGATCAAAATGCTCTGTTCCGAAATGTCATGAAGCATTAGTTTCAAGTTAACATTTACCTTTTACATAGCCTGATTCATCAACCAGTTTCACTTCGTGGAAACCGTCTGACGTCACAGCATTAGGATTCGTTCACTCGAGAGTAGGCGGGTACTTTTTTTAAAATTTAACCAGTCGCTGCTATTTGGTCGTGACATATGTAATGTGCCTCTAACGGGGGTAACTGGTATATTAAGCTTTTCCCAAATCCCATAGGAAGAAGGGCAGTAACGTCTTTCCCCTTAATAAAATTCACCAAACATTCTCTTTGTTTTCCAGCTTTAAATCTTTGATCTCGGGAATCGTTGCCAACACAGAATATATGACTCTTCGCTGACTGGCTGGTGCCCGAACTCACACTTCCGGGGTTTTTGCGAACCGTCTAGTGTATTCCGAGTCCTGATGTAGCCGCTGGAGAGAAATGAAATTGAGCAGAGGCACTAGGTGGTGTCAGCCTGGCTACCTTTTAACTTTTTGTTCAGTAGAAAATGGTAAGTCCAGGGTTGAAATGATCCAAATGATTCTAGTGAAGGTGTATGGAGTTTAAAAACACAGAGGAGCATTTCCTGTATTACATGACATGACAAAGTGGAACAGGGTGCTTTTATTTTGTGTGTTAGACATGGGTGACTGAAGCAAAACAAAACTGGAGGTATGTTTTTGATGAGGAAACAACATAATAACACAGATCATATTTGCCCTACTTTGGAGTTTTGAGCGGAGGTGACCGGGTCCATTTTGCGTGGGGCAGCAAATACAACCTAATCTGCGTGTATTCCCATGAGCGAGCCAGAAACAATGTAGGGCACGTATCCTGGCTCTATTCTTAGTGCTGTGTGCTGTTATTTATAATGGACACAGCTGATCAAAGCCACAGTCGATTGGGTTTCCAGTCACTCCGGTTTCAGTGTGATACAAGCAACTCGCTGTGAGGTAAAAGAAGAAATGTGCAGGAGGAAGAAAGTCAACATTTTGCCAGGGATGTTGGTGCATGCATGGATGTCTGTGGCGGAATGTTCAGCAGTTACCATGGTGACACAATGCACACATTAGCGAGTGCAGCCAGTTTTTAGATGGTCAGAGTGCACACTGTAAACAACTCCGGGAGTGTTAATATTTGAGAGAAGACTGAAATATGAACTGACAAACTAATACAAAAATCCCATGCATTTTAGACATGTTTGTAGAGGTCTAAACTACAGAATATTTTGGTATTTGCAGAGAATATTTT